ATTATTTTTTTTTTTTCTTCTGTTTTGATTTTAAACTTTACTTTTATATTTTTCTTACGATTTCATGTGGTTTTGTCTTTGCGGGTCCTTTAAATGATGCTCTTTAGGGACTTGCCTATACAAAGTTATGGTTTTTCAAATTGACCAGAAGGACACAAAAATTTCTTGACTTAGAACAATTGATATGATTAAGTCCTTAAGGTGAATTCAAACGGTTATCTCGGCTATTTTCATAATATTTATTATTGGGTTTGAACGGATATGCCCGGATTTTGAGGAGTCAAGTATAATTGTATTATGAATTATGAAGTTGTTTTTTATGTATCATCATTGACCATTTGAGAGATGTGATTTTCTATTTAGTTAAGTTCTTCAGATTTATTGCATTACAAAATAACTTTGACTTCTCAGTCATGCTGTTTCAAATTTGTATTTGTAGAATACTTTTCATAACTACGTTGGGTAATCAGGTAGAGTTTTTACCGTTGAAACCTGATATTTTATGACGTGATTTAACTTATGTAAAAGGTTGACAAGTTATGGTTATATCTGAGCTGTATGTTATGTTAACATACTTGAATTCAGCGTTTTGGCCGCGTCAGACAAAACCAACATAGTGGGTTTGCGACCAGCATGGATTACGATCAGCCTGCGCCTCCGCGCAGTCTGATCAGGATTCATGCTGTTCGCTATCAGTTTCTTCACTTGTAATAGGGTTTGTAAGCGAACAGCATGGATCCTGATCAGACTGCGCGGAGGCGCAGGCTAGTCTGGATCCATGCTGGTCGCAAACCTATTATGTTGGTTTTGTCATGGCGCGGCTGAAATTTTTATTTCTTCTTAGAATAATATTATCTTCTTAAAATATCATGGGACACAAAAAAACCTATGCGGTGGACAATGATGTTGCTTGTCATACAAGTAATATTAAATTTTCCTTTTATCATTATGTTGTTGTTGTCGTCTGCGCCTCGGATTCGCGTTCAATCTATTAAATTAAATGGCAAAATTCTCATCTATTCCCCGTAACCGCCGTTTTGTATGACATCCGGCATTTTGAACTCAGATTGGCTTATCTGCAGACAAGATCAAAAGAGCACGATTTATCAATAATAAAATGGAACTATTTCCCGTGCACAAAGAGTTATGTCTCAAAACTGTCATTAGACCTTTGCCTTGCCTCCTTAAATTTAATGGTGAAGTCGGCATGCAGCTTAATTTTGATGGTTCTTTTAAACTAAAAGTCCCAACTGGGCAAAATTCGTCGTTTTGTTCAATCTTCCTAGTCTATTCCTCCCGTTGAATGTGGCTGTTCTCTCTATATTGAAGCTAAGCTTGGTATGAAAAAGAAGATAACCGCGAGAAATTATCTTTCAAAGAATTTTTTTCACTGGTTTATATAGGATAAAGAGTATTTAATCGTTCATGAGACTATTTTTCAAGTGATTTTTTAACACAGGGTCCTAGTTCGTTTTTTCCGATGCTTCTGGCTTGTCATTTGATGACAGACAGGCGGAATGGCAAATTAATTGTATTCTAGGCTCATTGATAATAAAAATAAACACTTTATTCTTGCAAAAGTAAGGGTTGGACAATTAATTATTAATCACTTTTTAAATGGAATGAAAATACAGGTTATCTTACTTGTGAAATTCAAAACAAGACAGTTTCTGCATAGTTTTTTTATCTTACATGAATTATTGACAAAAACACCATCTATTTACATACAAAAGGGTCAAGATGGCCCTAGATCGCTCACCTGACCCATCAAACTCATCCAAGCAATTACTTAGAAATCATCAAAACAAACTTGCAGACCAATTTCCAGGATATTTGTATAACAACAGTAGACACTAGAGAGTTCACAAGATTTTTCATTTTTTAGCTCCTGTGATCTAGTTTTCATTAGAGATGACCCAAGTTCGAATTAACTAGACAAACATCCTCACAAAGTTTGATTACAATTGAGTCAAAAATGTGACCACTAGAATATCAACAAGATTTTTCCATATTTGGGTGGTGTGACCTAGTTTTTGACGCCAGGTGACCAATATGCCAACTTTGCCTAGAATCATCAAAACAAACTTGCAGATCAATTTCAAGGATATTTTGATCCAAACAGTAGCCACTAGAGTGTTAATAATATTTTCTTTTTTTAGCTCCAGTGACTTTTTTTTCATCCGAGATTACCCATGATCGAACTCAGTCCAGCAATTAACTAGACAAGCATCCTGGCCAAGTTAAATGATGATTGAGTTGAAAATGTGACCACTATAGTGTTAACAAGGTTTTTCCATATTTGGGCAGTGTCACCTAGTTTTGACCCCAGGTGACCCATATTCAAACTTGACCTAAAAATCATCAAAACAAACATTATAGACAAGTTTTCAGGATATTTGGATCAAAACAGTAGCCACTGGAGTACTAACATGATTTTTCTATTGTTAGCTCCCAAGACCTGCTTTTTAATCCAAGATGACCCATGTTTGACCTCATCCGAGCAATTTACTAGACAAGCTTGATGATAATTGAGGCAAAAATGTGACTACTTGAGTGTTAACGAAACAAATGTGTCCACGACTGACAATGGACAATCAATGATCCTAAAAGCTCACTCTGAGCTGGCTCAGGTGAGCTAAAAAAACTGTCTATCAAAAAAATGTTGTATGTATAAAATTATATACGTTGGTAACAATACAATGTTCTGTACACACATATAGTATACATAGTCGATGTGACAATAAAGAGAAATAGTGTACTGTACACACATACTGTATACACATAATAATTATAATTATGCTAATCGTGACATTTTAGTCTATTGTAAGTACGTACATACAATCTCAATGTGAAAAAAACAGGGTAGTGTGCATGTATGTTCATATCTTCTCATTGTGACATTTACATAATGTGTACTGTATGTTAATCATACTATGAGTTCTTATACTGGTTGGAGAGATAACTCCGACACTAAATCACATATTTTTTGCAATATTTTAATTATCTTCCAGTATAGTTTAAATATTGAACCACCTAAACAAAGTTCAGTTCAAAGACTTTACATTACACCACAAAAACTATGTATGAAAATGGAATCTGGTACTTCTTGAAGGTCTTGAATGAGGTATACAAAAATGGTCTTTTTACCCCACAACAGTAGATAAAGTCGACACTTAAATTTTTATGTAAAAAATGACTGGAAAATCAGCACCAATAATTTATTTTTACATCTTATTTGGTTTATCTATTTTTTGTAAATATTTAAACAATTTTTCAAAAATCTTTCCCAAGTCAGTGGCCTGTGGTCAATACATTTCTAACTACCTTACTGTAATTTAGTAAAAAGAACGTTTTGAAGCAGTTTTTGCCTACAAAAAGTTTAGGTTATTTGAAAAACATTAAAAAGTCTACCAAATTATAACAAATCATCACATTCTGTCCTGTTCCTATACTGTTAGGTGATCATGTGCATATTTGTTGAAAAACAAAGCTAAAACAATTATATTTATCAAGTGACGGGGTTATCTATGCGTCGGAGTTATCTCTCCGACCAGTAAAGCTTTAAGCATATATGACTTCCCTGTAGAGCTTTACGCATATATGACTCATTAATAGAGCTTTAGGTAAGCACAAGTGCTCTGCAGAGCTTAAGGCATGCATGACCTGTCTATAGAGCTTAAGACATGCATGACCTTTCCTTAGAGCCTAAGCCATGCATGGCCTGTCTATAGAGCTTAAGACATACATGACCTGTCTATAGAGCCTAAGGCATACATGACCTGCCTATAAAGCTTAAGGCATACATGACCTGTCTATAGAACCTAAGGCATACATGACCTGCCTATAAAGCCTAAGGCATACATGACCTGTCTATAGAGCCTAAGGCATGCATGACCTGCCTATAGAGCTTAAGGCATACATGACCTGTCTATAGAGCCTAAGGCATACATGACCTGTCTATAGAGCCTAAGGCATACATGACCTGTCTATAGAGCCTAAGGCATACATGACCTGTCTATAGAGCCTAAGGCATACATGACCTGCCTATAGAGCTTAAGGCATACATGACCTGTCTATAGAGCTTAAGGCATACATGACCTGTCTTTAGAGCTTAAGACATACATGACCTGTCTACAGAGCCTAAGGCATGCATGGCCTGTCTATAGAGCTTAAGACATACAAGGCCTGTCTATAGAGCTAAAGACATACATGAGCTGTCTGTAGAGCCTAAGGCATGCATGGCCTGCCTATAGAGCTTAAGGCATACATAACCTGTCTATAGAGCTTAAGACAAACATGACCTGTCTATTTAGCTAAAGGCATACATGACTTGTATGTAGGGCTTAATTAAGACTTACATTACCTCTCTAAAGAGCTTAATATGATGTGCAAGATATAGAATTTAAAGTATAAATGACCTCTATATAGAGCTTACAACATGCATGATTTCTCTGTAGAGTTTAAGGCATGCATGACTTACAAAGCTTTAGACATGTATGAGTTCTAATAGAGCTTGTGGTATGTAGAAATTCTCTCTACAGTTAGACATGCCACAAATGTCTAAACAGTGACCTTGAACTTACTCTTTATTGTATACTAAAGCTGAGAGAGTATTCTCTTTTACCAAAAATCCTTTCACTGTAACTGTCATATCCCGTTATAAGGCCAAAACATTTATCTTTATTGAGACTGGAATGAGCTTAATTTTTGACAAATAGCCTTGAACTTAACAAATAGACCATAAAATGGTCAAAGAGCCCAATCTCTAAATAATTCATCATGCCATAAACTTTGACATAAGAAGTTTAACAGATACAAAGTGGTTTAATAAATATTATACTAATCAACCATAAGCTAACTATTACTAACCTATCATAAAGTACCTAGCTCTACTTGTATCAAACAATGTAATCTTCATTCTTCAAAAGGAAAAGAACAAACACTCAATCAAATATTATTATTTCAAAAACAAGAAGAACATTGTATGATATGTGGAAATTACTATGTAAAAAGTTCATAGAAAATGACAAAAGTCAGTAGGAATTCAATATTTAAGGGACATAACAAGTCACTGACATAAGAAATTTTTATATTATACTGTGTTACATTTCATACAGCCAAACTCTGTTCCAGGCTTGAAAATTTTGTCACCTTTTGAATTAATCAACTGAATCTTGAACAGAATAAAACAGGACAAGCAAGTTCCGACTATATAAGCAATCTCATGGTGGTCCCTAATTGACAGAAATGATCATTTAACAATAGTGTTTAGCAAGTATCCTTTTTTAGAGGAAAAAAAGTGAGATTTCTACATAAATTGACAGCAGCCATGTACATTGTACATAAAACTTTATAAAACTGCACATTTGTAACATCACTTTTCATTGGATAATCGTAATGTTGATATAATTTTTATATACACATCTGCTGTCATTATTCTAGGAAATCTCACTTTTTTCTCAAAAAAAAAGAAGATGTTTGTGGTATTATAATTTTGTTATAAATATTCCTGACAGGTTATATGACCATCTGTAATCAGTTGTTTGCAATATAAGCCTCGCCTGACGGCTCAGGTTATATTTCCAAACAGCCATTTATATATGGCCATATAACCTGTCAAAAATCTTCATAACTAATAATATAAACGTCATGATTATTAAATGAAAAGCGAAATTACAAATGTGCAGTATCATAATATGTCCAAGATAAAATATATTTTACTGATATGCATTAAGAATAACAACCTTAACAAGAGGGCCATGATGGCCCTGAGGTCGCTCACCTGTATATAGGCCCCTGGAGCAGGGCCAGTTTAAACCCCAGGGCTTTTATTTGAACAAACTTAAGACACCCATTAGAAGATGTTTCTTGATGTTAAGTTTTTACTACACACATATAATGAAAAACAATGACCTCTGCCCGCCCCCACCCTCTTCCCCCGGCAGGGCCAATTTGTACCCAAGGGCTTTTATTTGAACAAACTTGGTAGACACCCATAAGAAGATGTTTCATGCTAAACTTCTAAGCTCTAGCTCATTGGGTTTTTTAAAAGAAGATTTTTTAAGTTTTTAATATACACATATAGTTAAAAACAATGACACCCCTGGGGCATGGCCAGTTTTGACCCCAGGGATTTTATTTGAACAAACTTTGTAGACACTTACCAGAAGATGTTTCATGCTTAATATCTAAACTCTAGCTATTTGGGGTTTTTTCAAAGAAGATTTTTAAGTTTTTGCTATACACATATAAGGCAAATCAATGACCCCGGGGCGGGGCCAATTTTGACCCCAGGGCTTTTATTTGAACAAACTTGGTAGACACTCACTAGAAGATGTTTCATGTCAAATATCTAAGCTCTAGCTCTTTCGATTTTTTAAAAGAAGATATTTAAAGTTTTTTCTTTCGGTTGCCATGGCAACCAGAGTTCTGCATGGAATTAAATTCTTTGAACAATTTTTAAAGGTGACCACCAAAGGAACATTCCTGTGAAGTTTGAATGAAATTGGCTCAGCGGTTAATGAGGATATGTCATTTAAAGTAAAAGTTTACGGACGGACGACGGATGAAAAGCGATCACAAAAGCTCACCCTGTCACTTTGTGACAGGTGAGCTAAAAATATAAGACATTTCATAAATATATATATAAAATTTTGATTCAAAATGAGTACAGTCATGTAAATAATATAAAAAATAAATATCTGCTAGAATGATATGGTTTGGTTTTAAGAAGGTTTAAGTTAAACCCACAACATATCAAAATAGTTACAACCAGAAATCAAATATAATAGCTTAACTAACATATAAATGCTAGTATATCAAAGTTTACATAAATAATTTTTGTCCATATAAATTCTACAGTTCTGAGCGAGCAGTTTGAATATCTGGCGATGAGAAAGCTGGAATGTCACGACGAACCTCACCTGAGGGCACATGCTGCTGGAATGTTGTTGGTGATGAAAATGCTGAGATCAGAACATTCAATGACATCACAATTGTGACTAATGTCAATGACAGAAAATTTAGAAACTTTCTTTTTCCCTGATTTTTACGATCCTTTTCTTTCACCTGAGTTTTAAGAAAGTCTGAGCTAATCAACAACACGGCAGAAAGTAGTTGTAAAACTATGGAAAGCCCAATCAGCCATAATAACAATGTGTAAAATTCATAACTCGGATTTGACAGGACTGCTCGTAACTGTGTGGCATTGCTGGTCAACAATGACACGTCCATCATGCCATGAGCAAATGTTTTTGTTGTTATAGACTTCTTCTCCTTTTTCTCTTTTTTGGTTCCTGGAAATGGAACTTTTTGCTGGAACAAAACAAGAACAAAAAAATATTCAATCACCAAGAAGTGAAATTCTTACAAGCAGAAGAATAACATTAACAACACAAGAGCGAGTTTAACTCAGTAACTGACATAAACACATAAAATATTTCATCAATTATCATTGCATTTAACACTATTTCAATTGCCATTATTATGCGTTTTATTTCTTTCATTTGTTAAACATTGTTTTTTTGTGTGTTTTTTTAAACAATTTGTAGAGTTTTAAATTGCACCAACACAGTATAGGTCATATGGTAACTTTCAAGCTTTACTCTCTAAGACCTTGTTTGCCTTTCCATGCATTATTTCAGGCAAAAACAGGCAATGGAGTAGAACCACCAACATTTCGCTGAAAAGTTTTCTCACAAACTGGGGTCAGAGACAAGTGGTTTGAAGTAAACGAGTTAAGACCATAACCACTTGGTAATGCACGCCCCTTAATATAACACAAATAAAGTTACCTCTTGATGAGACTGCATACTTTCACCAATACCACAATTATTATAAGACCAGGAACCAGGTGACTTGCTATCTCTCCATTGTTCATGTGGAGATAAAAAATTATGGGAACCAGGTCCAAGTGTATCATCACACTGTTCTTGTCTATGTAGAACTCTTCCCGATGTAGGCGTCTGAACATATTTGTATTGATCATGCAGTGAAAATCTTTGTGAACCTGGTGTAAGTGAATCTTCACTTTGTCCTTGGCCAAGCAAATTTCTTCTGAATGTTGGTCTTCGAATGTTCTCAAAACTATCACTATTAGAAGGAAAATTTACACTGTCAGATTCAGATTTTTGGTTTCTACCATTCTTACATGCACTATCATTGGATCTTGTGGGTGAACTATCCTCCTGAACCAATTCATTTTGTGCACACAACACAGGACCACTTGTCCTTGGTGCTGAAAGACTTCTTCTGGAGTTTTGAGACTTTTGGGGGCTACCATTGTCACGAAAAGCTGTACCAGTCAAACTTTGAAAATTTCTTGGGAATAGGTTTTGCATAGAATCTGTCAGATTTTGAACATATTCAGTTTCCCTTGCTGATTCTAAAAAAGTATTTGTCATGTTTCCTATGTTTGACTGCTGTTCAGAAATATCAGAATCACTGTCTGGCAAACTTTTCTCCCTTTCCTTCTGTCGTTTTGTTTCATAATCATTCTGTTGACCTGGGTCCATCAATTTTTGTTGTTTAAATTTGTCATATGTATTACCTTGGGAGTGGCCTAGATCCATACTTTTTTATTAGTCTTAAACTCTCTAACTCTTCATACACAAACTTTATGAATCCACATTACCTGTCTGATAAAGATAAAAAAAATTAGTTCTTGCTTTATGCAGGTACATTGAAGGTAAAAGATATTTTTTGTTTCATCCAAAATATTTTTTTCTAATTAAAATTAATTTAATCATATAGAATTCAAAACAAATTATGAATGCTTAGCATCTGTATAAAGTTTAGAGCGGAATTCAAAGTTTTTACCAGCATACTGGGATCCTTTGTATTTCCGGACAAGATAAGTTGTTTTTCCAATAAGTTGTTTTTTAATATTCACTGTCACTTTTATTTAAAACCATTACAAGTAATGAAATTTCATCCAATCGATTTTGGGTTCTTAATACACTTTAATGTTACTTTATTAAACACGAAATTCAACATTTTGACCATAAAAACATATCTTCAAAGTAGGGCATTATAGGAGAAAAAAATTGTGTAGACAACTCAATTTACAAGAAATTGGCTTTCAAAATATTTTGAAGTTGTGAATTGAAATTATTCCTTTAGTAATCAGCTAGGGAACTATGACTCGAGTTGCCAAATGATTACTTACTTTCTATGTACAAATAAATAATGTTCAGGGTTCACTGCAAGGGAATCGGCATATATTTTCTGCATTGTATGTATCCCCCTTTCGCTCTTTTGAAAGATCAAAAGAAAATCAAGTTTACCAAAAATGTATTATGTCAAGAGAGATTATTGCATGGTGATGCTGTGTGGAGGGTTGTAAACATCCATTTTCTGCTTTTACTTTGGAATAAATCAATTAGAATTGATAGAATTCCTGATTACAGGCACTGATTAAGATATTTTGTAAGACAATAAGGTCAAATCGTTTAAATGGTAACAAATACATTTAAACGTGTAACCATGGGGGCCAGGTCATGAAATGACATAATTAGCAAAGGGGCATGTAAGTAAAAAAACAACTGAATCAACAATATTTACCTGAGTCAGTAAGTGTTGTTTTTATTTCCAAATGGAAAGTGTGTGAGAGTCAGGTCGGATGACTTAAATTGAAACAAAACAAAAAAACACTTTTGGACAGGAATAGATTTTGTCTGGTAAACTGATTGTCCAGTAAATATGAAGGATCCCAGTATATCCCAGTCATTCAAAAGCATGAGACGAAAAATACTTGCTAGAGTGCAAGTGCAATATTATCTAACAGGTACATGTAGAGGGGCCCAGCACATTACCCGGAAGAAGAAGAAGAAGATTATACCCAGTTTCTGAACACTTACTCGTTCAAAACACCTTTTTATATGAAATTCGATGTTCCTGATACTGTTTCAGGCCGTTATATCTTCAATTATTATACAAGGTAAACTAAATATTTGTTTAAACAGTGTTCAATGGCAAATGAAACCGAGGTTTACATTCTTGTTTTCTTTCAGTACAAATGGCGTTTTCTTATCAAAGGGAAATAATCTCTGATTTGAATAATCACTAATAATCGTATTATCACGTACATTAAACCGGACAAGAAGCAAATTTACACTATTTTTATTTTTCATTTGTTTCTTTCATTTCAAACATCATAATAAAATGATGAAAGACATTATCAGAATGGACCAACTTCTTGCAGCCAACAGCATTTTCAAGGAATGCAAAAGTATCCTTACAAAACAAAGCAATTAACTATGTTTTGGGATAATTGATTTAAGCACTGTTTCAGGGAGCGCGATAATGAGTGATGTTGCACTTTTTCATTTCTCCTGCAGTACTGAATCATTATCAAACCGAGTCTGCAATTTTCAAGTTAATATGTTGTGATTAGTGCTTCGATCCAAGCCGAGGGATTACACTTTTCCTTATTTTATAAAAAATCAACAAGGGAAAAAGACGTTCACGGAACGCAGACATGACAACATCCAGTCACACAGCCTGACGTCTATTAGAAAGTATCATGAATAAAAAAATATTTTAAATGAACAAAAACGTTTTACTCTTTCCTAGTTACTGTAGCACAATTTTAAGCGCTGAAAATTGTTTCCTTGAACGGTTTTCAGCGTTATTCATTCTTGCCGATGAATGGCTGTCGATGTTATCATTTAAAAGAGATAAACGACTGATGACGTTACTAAAATTTTAATTACACTCAAACTTAAATACCCTATAACTTTAACAAAAAAGCATTTTCGAAGATATCAATTGGAATATTTAATGACGAAATGTTGACGTTTACGAATCGTATGATAAAAGGACTTATTATAAGTTTTTGTGACTTAAAAATAAAAATGCCGCATCTCATCGGATAGTTTGGTTATTTTCAGTCAATATTCACGTGAAGTAAAGCTTGCACAGGGCCAGAAATTTGTAAGTATGCTCCTTTCGATGTTGACTATGAAGCCATCACATTGATTTACTCAACACAGTTGGGATATGTTAGAAACAGATGAATACTTACCGTCCGTCAATTGTGTTTCGTGCGCCGACATGTATATACTGGTACAGCTGTCGACGTTGGAACCGCTGTCTGCCCATTTGATTGTACGGTAGGGCCATCGGAAAGCCACCCGGAAGTGCAACGGACAATGGCTTTTCGGGTGAGGGACGCGAATGGCGAAGAGGTGGCGAACTTATATTTAGAGGTAACATTAATTGCTTCGTAAAATGCGCACTTTTTACATAATTAAAAATGTTTTATGTATGTTTAATAATTATCTACAGATATCAGTTGATTGGTCGTTTACAGTTCGGCAGTGGAATCTTCAATATGGTCCCTCATTGCCATTCATGTCTAGGTATAATATGTACGAACGTAGTCCTGCTTACTGAGGGTTTATCCGCCCGTTTCTTTTAGGCCCAAAATTGATTTTGTATAAATTGTAAATTTGGTTAATATATTTAATGACACCATGAATTCTGGAGTTTGCAAACGCTCTAACATTTGTTCAACATATTTATCAACATATGATATTTTCGTGCACATCTTTGTTATTTGGGACTAGTGACATCACAGTAGTGTCCCTTTGACTTTACACAGTTTGCGAAAAGTTAAACTACTCCGTAGCTATATTTGACTCAGGTATAAAATAGTTATGTCCCTTGATCAAGTCTGATATTTATAAGAATTTTGTCACTTGGCTTTAAATAGTGTCTATATTTGACACATAGATAAATTTTAAAGTGAAACACTTAAAATGGAAAAATCTGCAAAAGATAATAATGACTTGTACACAGAATTTAATTGAATATTGATTTTATTAGGCGATTTTTAGCCCGATTTTAGTGAAAAGTGGTGCAACGCTATTTAGTTATTGGCCATTTTGCACTATATAAATAGTTTTTTTGGAGAAAGGGGATGACGGAATGATCTGAAATTTGCACACAAACTTTTGGTCCAAACTTTCATCAAACTATATTTGAATCTTATAAAAAATCAAGTCTCGTCATATATATATATTACATTTTTGTCAAGTTTATCTATTTTTAATAACTATTTTGGCTCATTAGGAGGCATGCAGCTTTAAGTAATTTTTACTTAGGGCTATTTAAGCTCCGCCTACTATCGTTACCATATTTTTAGTTTCATGACTCCGTAAACTGTTGACTGAACAAATAATTATATATATTTATTATATAAATAAATAAAACTCACAATTATATATACAATGGATTTTTTAATTCAAAATGATATGATAAAGAAGTAAGTAACAATTGTTTTCAAAAGCAAAAACATTATCGTCCCTTTAATTTCAATCACCTTGACAATTATAAATGAAATGATGAAATGCACTAAATGCATTTTTTTATATATTTCTATTTAATTCTGAATTGTTCTCGTTGGTATGTACATGTATGAACTCTGTATTCGTATGTATGTACATTGTTACACTGTTGGATGGTTACTTTGGCTAGTCGGAATAACAAAAAATAAATGTATACAATAGACAGAAAATTCAAGTTTTTTTCCATAAATACTACTGCCACTCAGGAAATAATTTAAACTAATTTTCACACCACTCGATGCAAATAAATCCTGTATTTATAGAAAAAAAAACTTGAATATTCTCTATACATGATAACATCTACATGTTATACGATATTTGCAAAGAAATGACAAAATTAAGAAACACCATAGTTAATGCGTTCAATGCAAAAATGGTATTTTAAGCATGAAAACTAAATTGTTAAAGTCCAGCCAATGTATCTCATAATTCGTGTTCAGTTTCATTTATTCTGTTAAATAGAACCTTAATGTATACCCGAAATAATGTGAGTTAAACGAAATAAGGACGCAATAATCTATACACGAACTAAACGAAAAGAGAACCTATTTACACGTACTAATTGGAACGAAAACACTTTTACACGTATTGATTGTAACGAGAACACTTTTACACATACTGATTGGAACGAGAACTCATTTACTCGTACTAATTGGAACAATTGAACGAGAACTCATTTACACGTATTGATTGGAAAGAGAACTCATTTACTCGTACTAATTGGAACAATGGAACGAGAACTCATTTACACGTATTGATTGGAACGAGAACTCATTTACTCGTACTAATTGGAACAATGGAACGAGAACTCATTTACACGTATTGATTGGAACGAGAACTCATTTACTCGTATTTATTGGAACAATGGAACGAGAACTCATTTACAAGTATTGATTGGAACAAGAACTCATTTACTCGTATTAATTGGAACAATGGAACGATAACTCATTGACACGTATTGATTGGAAAGAGAACTCATTTACTCGTACTAATTAGAACAATGGAACGAGAACTCATTTACACGTTTTGATTGGAACGAGAACTCATTTACTCGTATTAATTTGAACAATGGAACGAGAACTCATTGACACGTATTGATTGGAACGAGAACACTTTTACACATACTAATTGGAACGGACTCATTTACTCGTACTAATTGGAACAATTGAACGAGAACTCATTTACACGTATTGATTGGAAAGAGAACTCATTTACTCGTACTTATTGGAACAATGGAACGAGAACTCATTTACACGTATTGATTGGAACGAGAACTCATTTACTCGTACTAATTGGAACAATGGATCGAGAACTCATTTACACGTATTGATTGGAACGAGAACTCATTTACTCGTATTTATTGGAACAATGGAACGAGAACTCATTTACACGTATTGATTGGAACGAGAACTCATTTACTCGTATTAATTGGAACAATGGAACGATAGCTCATTGACACGTATTGATTGGAAAGAGAACTCATTTACTCGTACTAATTGGAACAATGGAACGAGAACTCATTTACACGTATTGATTGGAACAAGAACTCATTTACTCGTACTAATTAGAACAATGGAACGAGAACTCATTTACACGTTTTGATTGGAACGAGAACTCATTTACTCGTATTAATTTGAACAATGGAACGAGAACTCATTGACACGTATTGATTGGAAAGAGAACTCATTTACTCGTACTATTTGGAACAATGGAACGAGAACTCATTTACACGTATTGATTGAAACGAGAACTCATTTACTCGTACTAATTGGAACAATGGAACGAGAACTCATTTACACGTATTGATTGGAACGAGAACTCAGTTATACGAACTTAACGGTAGAGAACACATCAACACGTACTGAGCAGGAAACGAACACAATAAAGTGCACCAGACTGTAAATACAACATCTGTACATGATCTATCTATCAAAATTTATTTATTTCTAGCACCAAGTACTAGATATTTAGCTGCATAGCAGCTATTTCAAATCAGGTTGAACATTTACTTTATATAATTACAATGTTATCTTCATATTTGATAAAAAAAAATATTCAAAATCAATGCAATTTTTTTTATGCAACCGCTTAAAATTTTCATCTCCTATCCTTTTCAGTCGCTGTCATTGCCGTTTTAAACAATTCCTTTCCTTTGTTGACATCGTCCTACAAACAATGAATTTCCTTTGTAATCGCTCAACGTTTTCATTGCCCTATGGTAACTATTAAACTTTTGCAATCGCTCAAAGTTTCCATTCTCCTACAGACAATGTACAACAATGTATTTCCTTCTGCAATTGCTCAAAGTTTTCATTGCCCTACATACAATGTACTTCCTTTGGCAATCGCTCAAAGTTTCAATTGCCCTACAGACAAGTATTTCCTTTTGCAATTGCTTAAAAGTTTTCACTGGCCTACATACAATTTATTTCGTTGAAAACGGTTTAAGTATATTTCTTTTGCAATCGCTCAATGTTTCCGTTGTCCTACAAACAGCTTCTCTCCTTTTTAATAGGTCAATAGCAATCTATATACACACATTTTTTTTATTATTTTTGCCATTTTACCAATGTATACTTTACTAATATTTACAAATAATACATGATAAAAAACAGGATTTTTTTCTCATGACCTGAATAGAATATCAGGTTATTAAATTTAACTACACTAGAATAAACTTCAAGATGTATATTGCACATTTTACTTGGCGTAGATGGGATATTTTAACAGGCACTATCGACTCCTATCTTATCCGGGTCACTGGTGTCTTCATGCTGGGTCGGCTCCTAAAAATAAGAAAAAAATAGCATTAAAAGTTCGATATTTGACAGACTAATGGACTACTTCCTTTCTTGTTGCTTTTCCCCCCGTCAAAACAGCATGCCTTCAGAGTCATGCTTACTTTCAATAAAAAAACTAAAAATGTATTTCAAAGTACAAATGCTGTTGGGTTAACAAAGAAAGAAATCTACACATAGCAAACGGCACGTACAACCAACGTAAATTACCGGAAAGAGGTCAAAATAAGCAAAAATAGCCCCTACTGCGTTAGTCACGCATTAGGAATTTGGTGACAAACAACACAAAAGCAGTCATTAATAGCATGTAAATCATTACTTGAATCTTGAATCTTTTCTTAAAATCGAAGTTCAATTTTTGTCCAGTTTGCTTTTCTTAAAATTTGCTATTCTTTGAATTTGGAACAATCGACTCAAATTTTAAGAGATTTAAATACAAAAATACAATGAGTTACCAACAGTATAGAGCCGATCGAATGTGCAGGCTGAATTGGCTCTATACTGGTGGCAAATGCAAGTCGGTTTTGGTTTAAAGCAGGATACGGGTTAAAGCGACCTTCAGCTTTTCTAAAGATTAAACAATGCTATTTTTAGATAAATCGTTTCATATTATTGTCAAATCAAAAGAATGAAGATGGAACATGAAAATTGCCGCCTTAAAAATAAATAAACAAAAAGGAAACCCCTCGGTACCTCTTATCTTTTTGGTCGACTCTCTATATGGAAATTAGTAAAGATTCGTTTCCCGATCTTCTATTTTTAGAAACAAACGGCACTGGCGCGCTATAAATAGCTCCAACAGAAATTAATAGCTGAAGGCCGCTTTAAATAACAAAAGTAAATACCGTGTGTAAAGAGGTCACTGTTCGAGTTGATGTGACGTCATTCTCGCTTGTAGATGGGTAATCGTCACTGGCCTGAACAATGGGTGTTGATTCCTGTTAATAAATAAAAATATCCTTAACTTGCCGAATATTTTGAATAGAATTACCGAGCTTACAGTTTGAGGACTGTCCATTATCGATTTTAGGGAAATCAGGACGAAAATATAAAGTTGGCTATTCAACACTGTAGAGCATGATCAAACAGATCGAATATGCTGACTGACTTACTTTAAAAACCCATTATGTCTTAGAAATGCTTTCAATTTTATTTCCCAAAAACGTTTTATTTTCCAAACAATACACATTTTCCATTCAAATGAACTTCTTTGCTATAGTGAATAAGTATTTTATATGGAAGTCAAAATACTAATACTACTTTGTTTACATTATGCTATCTTTGTGACAAATAATTTCACTTTTAGAGATAATTGAGCCGCGTCACGGCAAAACCAATATAGTGGGTTTGCGACCAGCATGGATCCAGACCAGCCTGCGCATCCGCACAGTCTGATCAGGATTCATGCTGTTCGCTTACCAACTCTATTACAAGTGGAGAAACTGACATCGAACAGCATGGATCCTGATCAGACTGCGCGGATGCGCAGGCTGGTCTGGATCCATGCTGGTCGCAAACGAACTATGTTGGTTTTGTCGTGACGCGGCTCATATATTCTTCTGACATGCTCCAAAACCATTATGATAAAGATTATAACATCCATTTTTGATCTTTATACAAAGTAAATTCACTTATTTCTGAAGCAAAAAGTGCTATTTAGCAAAATGTCAATATAAATTCTAAAATAAACTTATTTTCTGTTCTCCTTATATATTTTAATAAGGCTCACCAGTTGTTTTTAACGTTTAGGTGAAAAACCGTAACCTGTTAAATTGGGGTTTACATGCCGTTTTTCATGGTAAGGCATGGAACCGTAAAATAAAACCTAAAAATGATGAATAGTTTTTTTCCTGATTGAAAGATGGACAAGTCCATTGGTTAAACTGTTTCTAGGGAACGTGGATTGTACAGTGTCCAACGAGACCAAGACTTATCGATTCGGACTTACAAGAGTGTCTCATTTGCCGCGACTTTAATGATGCTAATATCATATTATGTCCTTGAACCCACCGCGCATACATTTGCATCCTCAATATTGCCTGCATACATTTCAATCTAAACAAGACAATTTCAGAGCTAAACAGTGACTGCACATTTTGTGTTTAAGTGTTTATTGATCATATATGTAATGAATATACTAAGATTTTTCTCAAAAGAAACAGAAGGAAACTTACAGATAATGAAAGCACTCTTGAATCTGAAAATCAAAAGAAAAGTTATAATTATTTAATACAGCTCTTTTATTCGAAGTATAAATTTTTCTTGTTTAGTTGTCAAATGCCAAAATTATTGTAAACACATTTCAAGCAGCTTATCAAAGCACTACATTTTTTTCTACCGGATTGGTAAAGTATAAATTTGATATTAATATAATAAATTCTTTAATTCTTTCTTGTATTTTTTTATCACGTGCCGCTTAAAATTGCGACTTCGTAATTAGAGAATGCTATATGAAATCTATTAGGCAAGGTTTAGAAAAAAAGAAGAGCCTTTCATTTATTTCATGCCTAGTGATAGATAAATTTTGGTATTCCATTAACCCATTGCCCGCTTTTTTCCCTTGAAGTAATGCATGAAAGGAGCATGTGTAGACTCTCCTCTAGAGACGCTTGAAAATCGCCATGACGAGGCGTTGCTTTAAACAAATATATATCTATTTTATCTTTTTAATATTATTCAAATTTAACTTCCCCCAAAAAAATCTTACCTGTTGAAAAGCAGCCGCTGTCATTGTTTGAATCTGAAAATATAGAATAAAAAAGACGTGTTATTTTTTTGGAGGCGTCATAATGTTTGGGTTTTTTTTTTTTTGATATGATGGGACTAAAAAATTTTTTTTTTAAAGATTTATGTACCATTAGATGTAGGTTCCGACTAATAACTTTTGTGCAAATATTTCAGGTCATCGTTTTGTCCGTTTTTGCAGAAAAACAAAATTTTAATATGAAAAGTGACTCAAAAATGAAATAAATCGGGACAAACAGTTGCACGGAAAAACGATTTCCAATTTAATTCTGAGAATATATTTTTTTCCATATCTTTATGTTTCAAACATCCCCAGTTGATCTATGTTATGATGTTATGTTTTAAGGCTTTTGGACCTAAGCGGAGTTCCTTTAAAGATTCAGTAAAAAGGGGAGATAACTTAAGATTTAATGAAATCACGAAAAAAAAAAATGAAAATAATATAGCCATATGTAAGAAAAAAAACGTTACTGAAATATGAGACATTTCGAAATGTTTTGTTATCTTTATTGACGAAACGTATATATGTTACCTACAAATATTTGTGCACATTATATTTAATCAATAAATTACATGCATTTATTTCTTATTGGAAAATTTCACTCACAATTTAGAGAAAATAAATTTCTAATTACCTCCCTTTATTTACATGAAATGTTAAATTGGGTAATATCTTTATAAAGAATGCTTATTTTAACTTACAATATCGACAAATCTTAATTTGAGCATCATATTAATGAAATAAAACCATGAAAAAAAATGTGTTACAGGATCTTTAAGGTCGTTGGCTTCAAAACACTTGCACCTCACAGCTGTTGGTTCGGATCCCAACAAGGACTTTGGATTCTTTCATGCTAGATAGTTTACGGAATTAAGTTTAATAGTTATTTCATTTTTTTCTTCCTATAAAAAACAGATACAATGTCACGTGCATACATCAGACAAAACATTATCGAATAAATTTACAGTACATGTATTTACATGGATGCTGAAATAAAAAAGCAAAATGACCGGACCACAAGTTTTAACAACATTAGAGAGTTGGCCCTTCCCACACTGTCTCTATAAAAGTGAAAAAGATTTGCATAAATTATGTTGTATTTGGAATTCAAATCTGAAAGAATATCGGTGGTTCTACTTAGGTGCCCGTTCGTGCGTGAAGAAATGCACGGAAGGGCACCACCTGATGTCTACGCTGGAAGTCGCCATACATATGACCTAGTGTCCTGCGTTGGTGCGACGCGACGTAAAATACAGGAACATAAAAATATACAAATTATATAAACGGTATGATAATCCAATGAAAAACGACATAAAAAACGTGCAGTATAATGTCATAATGTAATAAACATACATATTTATGCATATTATCATCAGGTGCAATGAAATATAAGTCATATTTAAGATGAAATATAACCTTATATTACACCTATCTTACAAGTGTTATTATGAAATATTACACCTTAATGTTGTTTTATTTGTTTCATATTGCCATGGTTTGTTATATAAGAAGTTGAATACACTTAAAACTAGATTAACCTTTTGTATTGAATTACATCTTCACATCTACACTGCTTCTTGGGTGTAGATATTTAATTACAACTACGCACACTGTTTCTTGATACATGATACCAAAAAATAATGAAAGAAAAAAAAAAGAAAATGAAAAAACTCAAATGAATAAATACATAAAGTATTTGAAATTATATAAAAAGTCATTGCTTGTGACTTCCTGAAAGAAAAAAAAACAGAAGAGAACGTTCACGGTTCCACAACCGCTCTTAAGTAATTTCTTTAAAGAAAAATCTTAAAGTAAAATCAGCTGGTAAAATCACTTATATGCAAACTATGGTGTGGATTTTTGTCTTAAATATATGGGAAAAAAAGAATATCAGAAAAAAACTTATCATTTAGGGAAAAAATTGAAACTTAAGATCTGTTGTGAATATAGTCCTAGAAATGTATCTAATTATTGATCAGTAGTACATCATCTTTTAAATTATAGCCAATAATGCTATTGGTGTAAATTACGTACGTAATTTTTGAACAAATCGATAGGTGGTCGGTCATTGGTTAAGTTAAGCTTTTCTTATCTTAGTTTAGCTTAGCTTAGCTTAGCTTAGCTAAGGTTAGCTCAGGTCATTTTAGCGTAGCTCACCTCAGCTCAGCTCAGCTCAGCTTAGCTTAGCTTACAATAGCTTAGCTAAGTTTAGCTCAGGTCATTTTAGCGTAACTCACCTCAGCTCAGCTCAGCTCAACTTAGCTTACATAGCTTAGCTAAGTTTAGCTCAGGTCATTTTAGCGTAGCTCACCTCACCTCAGCTCAGCTCAGCTTAGCTTACAATAGCTTAGCTAAGTTTAGTTCAGGTCATTTTAGCGTAGCTCACCTCACCTCACCTCACCTCAGCTTAGCTAAGCTTACCATAGCTTAGCTAAGTTTAGCTCAGGTCATTTTAACGTAGTTCACTTCACCTCACCTCAACTCAACTCAACTCAAATCAACTCAGCTCAGCTTAGCTTAGCCACATTTTAGCGTAGCTCATCTCAGTTCTATTCAGCTCAGCTCAGCTCAGCTCAGCTTAGGCTTATGTCATCATATCACAATAAAGAAAGTTAATTTGAAAATAGTCTCAAAATATTGAAATCTTTAAATAGAAACTAATGGCATGGATATATACAGAAAACGAAAGCAATATCCATCATTTATTCACAATGTTATTATGTTTTGTTATACAATACCAAACGTTTAATTCACAGATAATTTAATACTAGTATATCGTAATTAATGACAAATATTAATGACAAATAATTAAGTGCATAGATTGAATATGGCCTCACAATTTGAAGTTATATAGTAAAATACGTCTTTCCTTTTAAACACAAAAATATAGTATATGCTTATAATTTCTTTATACATCAAATAATTATTTTTTACGTTGTAAGCTGTTTTGAAGTACAATAAACCTTTTACACTCATCATAGAAAGGATTACTAAGACTGAACATTGTTTATGTTTTCTTCATCAAATAAAAGTTTCGGTTTACAAAACAATAATAAATATACATGTGAATATTTATGTTCCTTATTACGTTAGTTTCGTATCTGTTATTGTTCTAGTTTTGAGATAAAGTACAATCAGCATAGGCAATCGGATTCACCTTATGAAAAGCGTTATTTTTGCAATGGTTTTGGAGTGCTTTAGGTTGTAACATTCATATGACATAATCTAATAGAAACAGGTGTCATTTCTTTTCTAAACATCGCAGAATTGTCAAACTGCTTACCAAAATTTTCTTGAATTCTTGACATTAAATACTGATGAAGAAAAAATAGAAAATCAACATGAAAAATTAAGTTGATTATTTCAAAGCATTAGACAAACATTAAAGAGTAACTACAGAAAAGCTCATTTGAAAATATTAAAACCTTCATTTAAAATAAACAACTTGTCATTCAAGTAGTTCTGGATCACTCATAACATATTTCCTTACACACAAGTGCTGATTTTTTAAAACTTATATCAACTGTTTCTTTTGTTTATATAAATGGAAACATTAAGAACGTATCATTTTGTTTTTATTGATCAATAAAAGAGAAATTAAATGATTTAGATTCGGATTGCCCTAAACATACTGTATAACCTCTGTTAAGCGACTCTCTGCAGAGTACGTCTTTACAATAACAAGATTATTTCTTCCCAAATTAAAGATTTTTTGCTATAATTATTTCACCTCTGTAGAGCATCACCTCTTATTTATAACCAGAGAAATTGTCTTACAAAAGGGTGCTTCCGGTATGAAATGATGTTATGAAATATTTTTTTCGCGAACGCATATCTTTATCTAAATAACTTTTCTGTGACACATATGTATCATGCAGGTTCATTGTACTCTATTTCCCCTAATGCGATTTAATTTTAAAAAGAAAAAGGCAAAACATTTTTATCGATACTACAAGTATAGAATATTAAATTTTGTTGTTATAAAGTAAGAGTGAAAATTAATCATGCAAAGAGGTTGATAATTAGACATTGAAAACGAGACCGTGAAAAAAAAAATGAACAATAAAAAAAAATAGACGACGGAAATAAAAAGCATGAAAGAAGTTGAATTGTAGACATGAGGCCAATAGGTATAGATATGACGATCTAACTAAAGCCAAAGGATCTGACGATCTAACTAAAGCCAAAGAATCTGATTAAAGCAACAAGATATTTAACTTAGAAACAACAAGAGATTTGACTAAAAACCAGAGAGATCTGACTAAAAATATCGGTTTCTGAATAAGAACAAAGAGACCAGACTAAAATCCAAGAGATTTGACTAAAAATCCAAGGGTTCTGAATAACAACTGAGAGACCAGACTTAAATCCAAGAGATCTGACTAAAATACCAAGAGATCGCGAGAGTTAAATTCCCCGTTACTCCAACAAAAAAGGATGATTTGTAATATATGTTTTAATAGATTGTTTCTTTTAATACTTTTTTATAATTGTTTAATTTTCATTTTGTTTTATACACTAAATGAGCCGAGCCATGACAAAATCCGCGCAGTCTGATCAGGATCCATGCTGTTCGCAAAAAGTAGAGAAGCATGGATCCTGATCAGACTGCGCGAATGCGCAGGCTGGTCTGGATTCATGCTGGTCGCAAACCCATTATGTTGGTTTTGTCATGACGCGGCTCAAATATAAATACAAGTGGTATTCAAGAATAGGTCGCCCGTATTGAAATAAATAAAACGTATATGTACACGTACCACGTATATAAGTCGTACATGCTCTTGTTAAAGTACAATGTATATACATGTGAAGTAAACCAGGACACTCTGATATCATTCCTATATTTGCAGTTATATAAATATTTGGTTTCCCAAAATCTAGTCACGAGAAGAAAATTATTTATATTTTGCAATATGTAAAATCTTCCTGTTTAGTTTTCGCACGTAGGTATATTTTTTAACCGCTGATTTCGTACTTCCTGAATTATTGTATTG